AAAGAAGTACATGGACATGGAAAGAACAAATGTGTAAATTCTGTATACTCTGAGGTCATAGTTTGCTAAGATTCTTATATTTTATACATCATAACATGACGTATATGATGAAGAGTGAGCGAGTGAGTAAGTGAGTTTAGTTTTACGCCGCTTTTAGCAATATTTCAGCAATATCACGGCGGGGGACACCAGACATGGGCTTCAAACATTGTACCCATGTGGGCAATCGACCCCTGGTCTTTAACCACTGAGCTACCCCATAGCCCCTCGAAACATGACGAAAACTAGCAATGCATTACTAACATGACAACGTCAGTCTGTCAAAGACGACACGGATGCCATTGTGTTCTTATATACCCTTTTCATTATTCTGTAGCCACATTATGCAAAGGACGCTTTCTGTATGGTAAGTATACCAGTTTGACATATCGATGTACGTAAGTATATATACAGATACGTATTAATATACTGTCTACACTATACTATACGTGTGACATTCCATCTGCCTAAAACAACTTTTGCTGTTGTTGGTGAATTCAGTCCTTCTGTTTTCTTGGCGGTCTATTTGGCCAGGATAGGTTGCATCCTCTGGGAGTGTAAGTGTACATGTGAATACATCATCCATTAGATAACAATGAATGTACACAATTATGTCACTGCGTTCTTAATAGTACATGTATATACATAGATTTTCAAAATTATCCTTCAAAGAGACACGTTAGTAATGCGATTATATGTAATAGAAGAATAGGAGAGAAATTGTCTGAAAGCTAGCGTTTGCTTTTAAAGACTGCTGTTGTAGCATTTCAAATAAGAAAGATGCGTTTGTCTTGTAAATTCCCTGATGACCAGGGCCCCGTTTCACAAAGCGATCGTAGCGCTAAGATGATCGTAACTCCCATACTTTAACATAGACTTACGACAGTCGTAGCGCTACGATCGCTTTGAGGAACAGGGCCCTGGTGTCAGCCTTTGAGTCACAGCATGTTATAATTGTATTGGATGATTGCATTAAGCCTGGTTTCGGTAACACCACTTCAGCTTTACCTTGGCAGTAATTCGAAATAAATTATTTTTCAAAACGTTTGTAGTTTGGACATAACACTGAGACAATCTATGATGCGTGCCTGAGTTAGTTATTTACACGTGTGCAGTGTGTTGGTATTTTGGTAGATAATGTCTTTTTTAGTTGTGTTTTCTTAAATTGCAATACTTCCATTTTCTGTGCATGTAGTAATAGTGAGTGAGTGAGTGTGTGTGTGTGTGTGTGTGAGTGAGACTCTTACAAGTCTGAGTGAACACAGATTTTGAGTTGGTATACCAGTAACGAATTTTGTGTGTATGTGTGTGTGTGTGCGTGTGTGTGTGTGTGTGTATTCTGCTCCTATTAGTCTATCTGATCAGTTTTCTGGTCATCATGGTGTCAGAGTCACAGCACTGCTGACTGCGGCAGGAAACAACCATCACTAATAATTGACTGACTGAATATGGTTTTACACCGCTTTCAGCAATATTCCAGCAATATCACAGCGAGGGACACCAGAAATGGGCTTCACGAATTGTACCCATGTGGGGACTAATAATTGAAAAAATACATAATTCAACCGTGGCTTTACAGAGAGTCGGGTCTTCAGGGAAACGTCACATTCATTACAAAGACAATGAAACTGTTTGGTTCCTGATGTGTCCTCGAACATCTCAGCGCTATGATTATCGAAATTCACATTCTTCATAAGAACAGGAGAAAGTTTGATTATGTCAAGTCATAAGATTGTTCAACTGCTCAGAGGGGCTTTGTTTTTTCCCTCGATCACTGGATGCCAGTCTCAACAGCACATCGTATTATCACTCTCACCTCTTGCAGCCACTAGGCGCACCGAGTTAATGTGGCTTTCCCATCCTTACGAGATACCCATTCACAGCTGGGTGGACTGGGACACATAGTCACAGTAATTTGTCCAAGTGTACTGCACGTTGCTGTACCCGCAACTAGGTGTTTGCATGTATTCATGTGGCCACCATCTGGTCATATACCAACTGATTCGTGGGTTCTTTTATGGTTGTGACAACACTGAAAGAGTCTACACACAAAGTTGACTCCAAGGGTTTTACACCCGGTCACAGGTGTGGGACCACTAGCCTGGCATCTTAGCCAGCTCGCCCACCGTGCCCCCTACTTTCCGACTATAAACGGGATTAACAGTTGTCACTAAAACGCGATGACCATGTAGACAGGTTCAGGGAGCTGTTTTACAAGTTGGTGCCAAGGTCGTTCAAGATGTGTGCAATGTTGGGCTTCCTCGTGGATGACAAATATGTGGGACCTGGGGTATGAGGAAAGGGTTAGATGTCCCTATGGACACCGGGCGGCCTCAAGTACTTCCTGTTCTGTTTCCCTGTCATACGTGTCGGAATGATCCGGTATGGTTCGTTATTTGCCAAATAGCGTAAGCCCCTTTCAGTGACTTACCCATCTGGGCTGGAGGGAGCAGTTGGTCAATGTTTCGTGTTTGGATTTGTACATAGGGATGAGGAAAAACAAATTGTCCTAATGGGCTATTTGACAGGAGTGATGACTTCGGCTTTCCATTTGTCTCAAGAGAGGTTCCATCAGTCTATGTGAGCATGCTATTTCTGCAGTTATTTCCAAGAGCGCCGTACGACGTAGTTGCTTATTGAACATTTTATACCTTAGTAAACATTTTAAAACGTTTTATGGTTTATGTCTGTTGAACATTTCAAAATTTGACGCATTAATGACACTTGTTGTTTGGTGCGGTTACCTGTTTTTACTTGCGCCGTATGTGTCGACTGGCTTGGCCGTCTATGTGTTTGGAACACTTGCTGCATTCTCGGAGGCCCTTCCGACGATTGACTGGTTTCGTTCCTGATGATTTATGGATGCATGCTTATGGTATGGGCAGAATGGTACTGGTGCAGTTACTGCTTTTGGCGGCGAGTTCTTGTGGGGCTTGACATGGAAATTCCTATGGTGGTAGCGCCGTGAGCCACTTCTGGAATGGGACCTTAGTCTTATTAGGTATCGGCTCCATAGGAATCAACTATAGTGCAATTATTTGCTTTCATTTTCACAATGATTCCCAGGAGAAATACTTGTCAACAGCTCAAGCACATTCAGTAACTTGTTGTCCCTATACGACTGCAGGGAAGTTGAAACCGCATCCTTGTTTGCCTCAGACTAAAGATATTAGTTGACAGTTCCTATGGGGCAGTCGTTTGAATATTCATACTTTAAATTGCTCAGAAGGGGAAGTACAAGAGACCAGTGTACTGGTATGGGACGATTAGTGCTTGGTAATCCCTTAAGTGCGCACACGTCAAGTTTAAATATCGATACGAAATTACCAACAATATTTATGCTTGGGAATTCATTAAACATTTACAATGAAGCATTAATTCTAATTTATGACATGCATCAAAATATTATCCTGATTATCCTACATACAATGCACGAGCACAAACGTTAGCGATCTGACCCACTCAGCCATCGCTACCTCTTGTCGAAGGAGGTGACAAGAGGTGCCGTTGGAAGCCGCTGTAGCTGCTTTGAAATCGCAGTGACTGAGTGGGTCTGAGTTTGGGTTTGAATCCTGGATGGGTCTCAACCCCCAAATAGTACTACAGCCTCTATTTTACTGCTCAAGTGTAATCCCAAATATAGCATTCATATACTTTCAACCACTTTCGAAAAGGTATTACCCGTGAAGGTCCGGGTTGGAATATTGATCTTCAGTAACCCATGCTTGTCGTAAGATGCGACTAACGGGATCGGGTGGTCAGGATCGGTGGCTTGGTTGACAAATGTCATCGGTTCCCAATTGATGCTCATGATGTTGATCACTGGATTGTCTAGTCCAGACTTGATTATTTACAGACCGCCGCCATATAGCTGGAATATTGCTAAGTGTGGCGTAAAACAAAACTCACTCACTCACTAAAAGGTATTGTGCATTCACTCAGTTCTCTATGACTTCGTATCTGCGATTTCATCTCCACTTATGGGTATGAGTAAAGTTTGGGTTTGAGAGTTGTGGCTATGGGTGGTACTGAAAGACTATTCCTGTTAGAAGAAGACATCATCAGTTAATCTTTGATAATACCAGTGGGGATAGTTTAACGATGTGATCACAGTTCTCGTGACGATCAGAGTCTTAAAGGCACTTCCGTGTATGCTCACAGTGGCCTCCCTTGACAGATCACATGGCCAGTGTCATTACTCAATGTCAGTGAAACTATTGATCAAATCCATGCATGGCAGAGTGCATCGCAGCATTGGTGTCTTTCAACTGGCAGATGTAATTCTGTGCATAGTTCCATATGGGTGCGCTGTTTATGAGCAGCTATCTTACATAAATAGTACAATCTGACACATAGCGCTGTATTAAGTTAATTAAGTTCATTCATGATTAGTTGTGCAGAAAATATGTTGTTGTTTCCTCAGTGACGTACCAAACAATGTTCAATTAAGTTACTTGGTGTTTCCCTGCCTTTCGCTCAGTATTCAGGGGAATGACACAAACACTGGTCCGCTTGGAGTCAGTACACTGGATCCATCCATCTTGAACTGTGGCGAGGGATGCTGGTGTTTATGTGATTTGTGTCTGTGTGTGTGTTTTGCTCTTGCGGGCTGATGAGGATGTACAGTGAGAGCTCACTGTGATCCGTCGCCACAGTTCAAGATGGATGGATCCAGTCATACACATAAAGGTGGAGACTGAGTAAGAATATACTCCGAAAGGTCATGTCCATCAAAATATAGAAGTTGACATCCATAAATTCTGTTGCCCAAATACATGTATATTACATTGTCGTACTTGCATAGTCAACACAGTCTTACAAGATAAATGTCAGTTTTGGTCTGTAAGACAAATGACGTGGTCTAGATTGGGGCAAAAACAATGACATAAACACCAGCATGCAGAGGTAAGTATAACTTTGGGATCAATGATGTTAACTTACGTTATTTCTTCTATTTTCAGGTCGTTCAAACTCTAAATCTATACACAATTCCGCTGACTCACAGCTCATAGCAAGAAGAAAAGTTGCGAAGATGTTAATGGCAATAGTTGGGATCTTCTTCGTGTGCTATCTTCCTCTTAATTTGTTGTTCGTTGCCAGGTAAGATCATTAATGTGCAGAGATATGTGTATGTGCGTGTGCGTGTGTATGTGCGTGTGCGTGTGCGTGTGCGTGTATATGTATGTTTAGGTTTCTATGTGTGTTTTACGCCTCACACAGCGATCTTGAAGGGTTTAAACTGTATCTCGGCGAACTTATTCCTTGGCCAAATGCTAAAAAAGTCCCTATCATTAAGGATCTCTCAGCAGCAGTAAAGGTGTTATCCAGTAATTAGTACGACACCTCCTACTCTTTAAAAGTCCTTGTCGATATGGAACTAGCCACAGAATGTATCAGGTTACTAAAAGCAAACAAGGTTTACCCCACTGTTGAAACAGTGTCCACGTGTTCATAGGCCATCCGCAGTATTTACCACATGGCTTAATGGACGGTGACAAGCACTGGTGTTCAACATGGTCAAGATATACATATGGGTGATAAAGCCGGGTGTATCATATTACCTGATTTTGACAATCTCTGCATTTGGCCAAAGAGTAAACTAACATTATAACCTAATAGCCACGCAGTCGGAGGACAATGAAACGTCATCTACTCATCAATACCATCCACACCAATACGTTACGACCAGCATATCTTCCTGGGGTCCAATTCTAACCAAAGTCATGGAAATTGGGCTTGGTGCCTAGAACTATAACATGATGTATCGTTTCAAAGAGGGAACGTTCATTGTGAACCAGGTGCAGATGAAGACGCTATTGGGTGAACCATTTTTTAAATGAAAATATAAGCAGGAAAAGATATTCATCTTTGAGCATAATTTCACCATATATATACCTTCAGGTATATTACGTATCTTCAAAAAAATTAATTAGGACATATTAATTATTAGGTTGGTATTACATACATCTGGGTTTATAGTAACGAACGCGTGTTATAAGAATGTGTCTTTTAAGCTTGGAAAAGGCTGCACAATCCTTTATACAATCCTGCAAGAAATAACCAGGTTTTCATGAGCAAAATATGTTCTACGCTAAGTATCCACTGACTATGTAACTATAGAAAAGCTTCATTATTCCCTTTATGTCGCGCAATATCCCTGCTGACCCAGCATTCGGGATATGAATTTCACTTTGAGTAACAAGCTACCATGCTCTGACTTCGAAGATGTCAGGAGAACGTTGCTAGACACTTCCTCAAAGGTTGTTTGACCAGGGTTAAACATTCATGAAAGTATGAAGCTATCATTTCTTTACATTAGAAAATATATGGTACAGTATGGTAGTACAGGTAGATGTATCAGTAACAACGATGATGTCCGATGCAATGCTGTCTTAAGACTTGTAACATGTTACCTTGTTTTTTCTGGTAAAAGGTGAGTCGTATTTGCATGTGTTTGTGATAGATGCAGCCGAGTGTGCGGGATACGCTCCCCTTTCATAAACATCTAGCATCAATACAGTTTAATAGCGAATAATTTGCATATGCTCATGATATAATGAAACGGACACTGCCTTTAACATGTATTTCGTGTGATAATGCGGAATCATTTTCGTTTTTTTCACTTTTCGTAAATTGCATTATCATTTTAATGTCCCAGTTCTTCAATATCAGAATATGTTCTGTCAAATGTAAAAGTTAAGCATCTTATATGCACGCTCATGTGTATGGGCAAGCTGATGGACCGCCTCATCGCGCTATTGAGCTCGTATCTCTATTGACTGTTTCAGAACTTGTCCAGTGAAGGATATTGATTTCAATCAAGAACGTAATATTTGTCAAGCGTTTGCGTCAACAGTAAAACTATCGTGCTAAATCGTCTTTTGAACCTCGTCAAATTTCAAAAGTATCTCCTCGAAAAGGAAATCTTGTTATCACAATTTAAATCAATATAATCGTTATAAACCGTACAGAGAAACTTGTCAAAATTCAAAAGTATCTTCTTGAAAAGGAAATCTTGTTATCACACTTTTAATCGATTCTATCCGTCTTTTTCAGATTTACTAATCTGCTTGGGAAGGCAGGAGAAGACTCGAACCTTCTCCCCGGCATCTTTCTCTTCTCTCATTGGTTGTGTTACTTCAACAGTGCCATCAACCCGGTTATTTACAATTTCATGAGTGGTAAGGATACAATTCATCATCATTCATCCTATGAACACTTATGGAGTAATTAAGTTTGGTTTTACAACGTGTTTAGGAATATTCCAGCAATATCACGGCGAGGGACACCAACATGGGCTGCACACATTGTACCATGTGGGGAATCGAACCCGGTTCTTCGGCGAATGTTTTAACCACTAGGCCAACCGCCGCCCTAAACATAATCAATTGCAAGTTCAAACAAAATAATCGAAAACGTGTACAATTTACCAATAGGAAATAGACAGTCTGTACAATGAAGTATACTGGTGGAAGGTATCGGCACATCCCTAAACAAAACCATCGACTCTGTTATATCATTCTTCATGTGCAATGATAATGGAAAAAAACTGCAGATTTTCCCAATAGTAAATAAACAATCTGTAACATGAATTATACCTGTGACATGTACAGGCATGTATGCCAATCTTTTGAAGCGCTAAGAACATCATAAGGCAGTCACCGACCTTGCACCGGTTACCGTAAAATATACATGAGGACAATACAAAGGAAAGTCACATTTACCGCGCCACATTTAAGCGTCTATACTCGCCTCACGGCGGCTAGTAAACCTCAGACACGAAATAAAAAACTGTAGACAACTTGGCAAAGCCACGAGAAGCATACCCGGACTCTCTTAATATTGAATACGGTTTGTGTTAAAAGACAGTTTCCGATGACATTTTACAAAAACAACCATTTTGGGACAGGATTTAGAAAATACATTGACCATGAACACCGATATGTCTAATATTTTCATTAACATGATCTTGGTTGAGGGAATAATGCTCATTTTCTGTTTGGATTAACGTAAAGATAGCCTAAATATCATTCCCCAATGCGTTTCATCCCGTGATACAACTGTCAATCAAATGCAAGTGGATTAAGAATAACTCGTTTACTGCTTTGCTGAATCCTCGGGATGTTCATATTGAATTGATGTCAGCCAGTAGTTCAGCAGACTGTCCCTGACTAATGCATCGATCAATGTTCCAATTAAAGTTCACCTTTAAGTCACGAGAAACCATTTCTTCAGTACAGACCTATTTCAAACATAAACAAATCTCAATTTGGTAATTTCAGCAACATGGCTAACCGTTAATTAGTTTGCTCTCAAATCCTATCAATTGTAACTGTTTGGGATTGTTAATTCTCTCAAACTGGTTCGAAAATTAGGCCAATTAGAGACGTTAGTGGCACCTAAACGTCTTGTCGAAAGCTACGGACTCTACCGTGGGTTGCTGGGAGTCTACGGTTCTAATATGCCGTTAATTGCACATTTGAACACAATTTTAGACCAACAAGCCCAAGAAAGTGGTTATACAGTACACGACCCCTATAAATGGCAAGGAAATATGTTGATATCAAACAGCTTTTATACATGTCCGATCCATCTCGAGTAATGATATTGATTATTGACGTATACTTCTTATATTGAATAGACGTATGCAATCATCTGGGTTCATGCATTAAATTATTTATGTAACCTATGGTATATTCAATTCGCAATCTTTAAAGACGAATTCAGATGGGACATAGGACTTAAATATTGACCAAAATGTGTCGGATGAGGGATATTTTGGTCAAATTTTCCCAATGTGTTAATGGCTGAACTCACTTCTGCACAGTGGCCTTTATGACAGTATTTATGTCATGGATTTAAACCTGTTCTCTTCAGTAATTACGTGTAGTGTTTTATCGAAACGAATGCTAATAAAATAGGTCTGTTACAGACTGTTGAGAAACAAATAGCCTTCCAAAAACTGGATATTTACAAGGTGTGTTTACTTTTAGTGAAGGTTTTCGTTTTCACTAAGTAAACATGGACTTTTTGCTGAAACATATCTAGTCTTTTCACACCCATGAATGCAAAATGGTCGTTTCACTCACAGGCCCTCGTGTCTTTGCAATGATTAAAGATTAAAATAAATAATTTGAGATGATCCCTGACTCGAAATGTTTTCAGTGCTGTGTAGCATTTCGAGTCGGGGGTCATCTCAAATGTCTTATGTTTTTTTAACATCTTTAATCCTCGCAAAGACACGAGGGCCTGTGGTTTCACTGGCATCATGAAAATATGCAAGTCTGGACCACAAAACTAAAGTGACTGATTTGTGTGTTGTTTAACGCCCGCATCCAGCAGTATTCCAGCAATATGGCGGCGGTCTATAAATAATCGAGTCTGGACGAGGCAGTCCAATAATCAACAGCATGAGCATCTATCTACGCAATCGGGATACAATGACATGTGTCAACCAAGTCGATTCCGTTGGGCGCCTTTTAAGAACAATAGTTGAATGGGCGAACTGATAAAACATGTATTCCTTCACAATAGGATGTAGGGTGTTTTTGTCAGAATGTATATTCATAGGTTAGTGAATTCATGTCCATATGGGAAGCCCAATTCTGGTGTCCCTCGCCGTGATGTTGCTGCAGTATTGCTAAAAGCGGCGTAAAACCATAGAGTTACTCACCCACTCATGTCCACGCGGTCTTATAGCGGAGGCTAAACAAATATTGGTTCAGTTTAAGCCGCTATGATTCAAAAAGCTGAAATACTGCCAGGAACTTTTAATTTGGTTTTGATGCCATATATCTTTTCCGTCACTCCTTGGTGGTTTGATAATTTGAGTCGAAAAACGTACTTGAAACATGGATTATTTAATTAAAATGTCACGTTCCGGCACATGACAAATTTCCACGTGAATTGAACTCGATTGCTGGCCATTCGGATTCAAGTTTGGGCAGCTGAATGCCAATAAAGAGTATCTGAAATGCCCCATCATTCAGAACATGCCATCGATTTTGTGACGGTATAATTACTGGACTTTATAACACGAAAAGAAATGTTTAGAGCAAAAAGGTGACGTTTGTGTTGTAATTAAGAAATAACGTTGAGGGGGGAGTTATTTATCGCGCAGTGAAACACTACAGGGAGACTGAACCGTGAGGTCAGCAGCCTTGAGTGGCTGTGTGTTCTTCCTGAAGTGTTTTATTGTACGATAAACAACAACCACGACCATGATTCGTCCATTTTTCACGAGAGATATCAGCATTATGTACAGCCAGTTAAGGTTATTAATACAATTTACAAACTTTAAAAAAATTAGCCCGCATTTGAATAACGGTGACTGCGTCAGTATAGTATTATCTTGTCCCTTTTAACAAGAAAAGGGGATGGAGGTGGGGAAGGTGTGTGACGTGGTGTTAAAATTGGAATTTCTTGACTCTTCTCACAATCGCGAAAATTATCGACAACCATTACTCGTCCATCTTCTCTGACTTCAGATTTTAATATTTCAACATCATTGTTCAGGGGTTTTCTTTGTTTGCACACAACATCTAGGACAAAAACACACTACCTTCTCGAATACAAGTTCCCAATTTTCAACGTCGTCCTCTTGCCAGCGTATGTTCGAATTGCGACAAGTCACATCATGATAGGGACTTCATTGTGCTTTTCGATTCATCTCGTAGCTATCTTTTATGACTGATTCAGTGACTTTTTTTTACTGAAAGGTTCTCGTCTTTCAACATATCCGAATCTACTGGATAAATGAAGCATATAACTTGCTCCCAACAATAATATAACCTGCAATCGTTCTCAGTCCGGTTTTTAATAATGGATGTACCTTTGTTACCGCTTTGTTAAAAATGCTGTTTAGGGCTAAACTCGCAACAAAGAGGTATGGAATTGGTATATACAATGCAGGTGGTAACACTCTTGACATGTCACTTATACAGAGAGATCTCGGATTAATATATTAATAATTATACTCTTTTTTTCAGTAAAATTTCGAGATGAGTTCCGTCGTGTTTTTTCCTGTCAGCCCCCTCCTAAAAGCGGTCGGCTCTTTCCCTCCACAACCTGGACGTCATCGGTGAACGGCGGAACGAATTGCTCGGACAAACTGATCGCCAAATCAACGTATAGGTCAACCAAGAACAAAGCTGCCAATGTGTGAATGTCAGGGCGTTTGACCAATACTGCCCCAGAGTACTTGACCGTGGTCAATATTGATTGGACCTTTGAGACGGTTACGCCTTGGTGATTTCAAATCCAGGAATACATATTAGTGCCTCGGCAGAATAGAAGATTCAGTGGGAGAATTACGATAACGGGTTGCGGTAAACCCTGAGGTAATGGAAGATTTCAGGTTGTACTTGTTCTGAAACAAGTCGACGTCACTAGACCTCCTTGAGTGGCATTTGGAAATCCAAAGGGACACCTTGGGTGATTGTTTGAAGCATCAAGGTTAAAGATTTACCGAAGCATAACAACATCAACATCAACTGCTACGTGTTTGGACAATGTGCACATCAGTGATACTAAATACCATTTGAGAATAAGGCTTATGTGCTGACGGACAGTTTTGTCGTATAATCGCAGGATAGATGAAGGGAGTTGTTTTCCGCCTACGTAACAGAACATACAAGTTGTGAAAATTCCCAAATTAACATTATCGGACGACACATGGTCGATCACAATTGCTAAAGGTGCTTATTGAGATTGTGCAGTCTGCCTTGGAGTATGTTGCACGTACCAAGATGAGATGATGTAATATTCAGACCCTCAGACGTACTTAGGAAAGCCTCGAGAACAAATTTGATGTCTCAATAATATTTTACAAGTTTCTTTAATAGTTCACCGAGTAGTTGTAAATATTACCCTTTCATCATGTGTCTGTCCCAATTGGTCATCAAGACATATACTTCCACTATTTGTCATTAAGACCTGGATTCACTATTTCTCAACTTCAGCCGAAGCATCATTAACCCATAGAGTGTTACTCAGGAACTTTGGAGGGTATTGATCCGAAATAGATTTTTCGTTGCAAATCGATTTCTAATTTAGGCCCGTCCTTGTGTGTACTGCTAGACGTTCCTAATGGTATGGGGGTCTTCATCTTTCTAATAGACACCGATTACACCGATGTTCCTTTGTTGGGAGAGTCATCAGGCACAGAAGTTCTTGAGTCATGAATTTTAGTGCTTTTTTTGGCATTACAAAATAGGCGTTCAGTAAAAGAACAGACACCCATAGGCTTTTTGTGTTTTGGACAGAGATTGTATCATGTGAAAGGATTTTGTTGAGTTGAAGTCACTACTGTATGGTCTATGATAAATATACGGATGAGCATTGATGTGAAGTGTAGCTGTAAGTCAAAGCCTCTGTCAAAAGGGAACTTTTGGACAATTATCATCCTGAACCGTAATTGTGCTTGCATCTTTGTGAATCAATGTCTTGTGATGGGTTTCTGCAGATGTAAATATGTACATGAACGCTTCTTCTGACCCTTATGTGTTGTACATAAATAACTGGAACGTTTATTTGGAGCACCTGCACCTGCTTCTCTGTTGCATATGTTACTGACATTATTGGAGCTGGCAAGAACTTGTGATCATGATACTTGTACATTAAAATTGTGTGAAAGTGCAGCTTTGAATATTTCTGCACGAAATTTCGGAATATATCATTGGATGTATAGGGTAATTTTGGTTGAATTATCAACTACTGTATGTACGTCTATTTGACATGCTTGTTTCTAATCATTCCCAATATCATAACCACTTTTGCTTTTATCGTGATTATAGTAACAAGATCCATTTTTCCGCATCATTATGATTGGCAGATTCGCACAAGCGAGAATGAAGTACACCCCGACCGACACGTAACATGCTTCTGGTTGTATGGTGCATATACATACTCTAAACAAATTTATCGTCATGGTAATTAGTAACCTCTGAAAAATTTAGCTTCTTAGGTATTATTAGACATGGAGCAGATCGGCATGTCATCTCTTTCATCGTGGCTGGAATTACGATACCTCAACAGGGTCTGGTAAGTGAGACAGCATGGCCCCTGTTTAGCATGATAATCGATGAATTCTTACCACGATGGCTGAAGTTTGTTTGATCGAGAAGGTCAGAGAAATCTGTTACAGACAGATAAGCCTTAGGAGATAAAATGTCTTGAAGATAAAGAAAAGAATATAGCGTATGTTAATTTTATTTAGGAACATGTTCAGTCAGGTTTGACGATAAATGAGAACTGTTGCATTTTATTAATTTTGGAAGCTTTCGGTCATCCAGGTATGTGGAATGCATGCTTGAACATGTTTTTGTTGTAACCCTGTGTAATATGTTAACATGTGTATGTAGGTTCAGTCATTGATGTACATGTAGCTAGATGTAGTGCTCAAATACAGCACAGAAGGCGTTTGTTTTCATTTACGAGTTACACATCGATTTACTGGCGATATATTTACTGTTTATATCTTTGTTACTGTTGCCTCCGACTTAAACCTGACTGTAGTCGCCATCTTCTTGAAAAAACATTCGGAATAAGAAAATAGGGCTGTGAAAAACGACGTTCCCAGTTCTCAGTTTCAGTAAAGAAATCTGCAAATCACCATGTAATCTGTTTTTAATTGTGACAGATCGTCCATCTCAATCTTCATTATCTTTGAGGTTTCCTGAAAAGCAACATCTACTTTTTGTCCCCACGTCCGCCTCTTTACCGAATGGTTTACGTCAAATAAACAGTTGTCTGAAATGCACTGAATACGAACTGTGTAGTGTTTGTTTATTAAGAGGAGTATAATTAATTATTAAAGGCACACTATTATATTCAACCAGTTTTTGACCAGGGATTTTTACCCAACGCTACATCTGGTGTTATGTATATATGTTCATGAACAGACTTAACAAAGAATACTTGCCAAGAATCTTCATCATTTTGTCTCACTGTGAGATAAATTACGGTGATACAAGCATGCTTTATCTTAACACACTTGACTAATACAGCCTGATTATACGTCCCTTCTATGTGTGTCCTCTAACAATGACGTCACTTACCATCAGCCTCTATTTGAACAAATGGCATCTGGAACAAAGTGTTGTTTGTTAAACCTTAGCCTTTTCAACAGCGAAATAATAAACAAAAGATAAGTTAAAGTGACCAGTTACTATTTTGTTGTACATACCTTTTTTCAGCAATAAAATGTCATTTATCATGTTGTAAAAAGCTGAATAATCATTATAAAATGTTAAATTGTTCAAATGCACAAGATAATTACTGTCAACGTAAAAGAGTATTGTACTTCAACATGTAAACATTTAAAAAATCAAATAAAAAATAATTGTATTTTGCAGATGGAGTGTGTATTTATGCTTTTATCAGTTTATCAGCATCTGGGATTCTGTGATATGTAAACTATATACATTGTAGACGATACGTGTATTGTGAAATAAAACAGCAAGCCTAATGTCTTTGTTTCTACTTTTCTCCTGTTACTGCGCCTCAGTGGAAGCATTGTGACTGTGTCACAGTCTGATATACACAGCGACAATAAGACGAATGGATTCTCTATTGACAATGTAATGCTATTACAACTTACCAGTTATGCATCAGGAAGCACCTGACGGTGATATATAACACGATGTAACTTCTTGGGTTGTTATTTATGATAACAATGGCCTCAACAGATTTGACAAAAATCGGCAGTAGTGAAAATTCCAAATGGATGAACTAAAGATATGTATGTAGTACTTGGGAAATCACTGTGCGTGTAAATACATTAATCTGAACGTTTTCAAGTAGTTCAAACGACGATTGCGTTGGTTGGGTAGAAATTAAGCAAAGTTGTTGTAATAAAGAAATTGGATCTTCTATAAATGGAGAAAACTCTTTATTGGCTATCTGAATTTATTCTTCAGCTGATCAAGGACTACATTTTGCCAAGGCATTACCAAGTCCGCACAGTGAATAATTTTATTTCCACACAATATACTTTTTAAGCACTTCCATGATTTCTCCATTAGAACTGTCAAGTGAAGAGCGCACTACCTGACGCCAAGTTATATACCACAGTAGCTTCCTTTAAACAAACGTCGCATCATTAGGGTATATTATTATTGGACATGACAACTGCACTATGGTAGGCTACATGCATATGACATGCTTCATTTCTGAAGTAAATGTTTTCTGTTGTGATAGACATGTCATGCTTGGTTCTAACCGTCATATCAGCCCTTCTACTTTCAAGATAAATGTCCTCGATAGAATTCACTTAAAAACTTCCTTTTTACCATTATTAGTGCCTACCGTGCTTCAGTGGTAACTGTGGCCAGTTGTTGGTCCTTTGAACTGCTATCGTTTATCCAAGGCTAAGTCAGCATGTGTTACTTTCATCTTATGACATGGATATGACCTCTTCCCAATTATCCCATGCTTATGTGGTGTCGATGGCAAAGATCCTCAAGACATCTGCAGTTCCAATAACCTGGTTGCCTCAGCTTCATGCATGACAGACACGCATGTGTCAGAATGGCAGTCCACAAATTATAATTCAAACTGAAATGAAATCTTGGAAAGTTCCAGCTGTTAACTGCCATTTATATATGAAACATTACGACTCCATGGTATCGGTTGTGCAGGTGAATCCGAGACAGCAATTCCACGGCAATTCTGAAAGTGCAAATTGTGCAAAATGTTGGGTGTGGATTTCAGTTAAAAATATTATTCTAGAATCCTTCGACTATCAACCAGCAACAGTGAGTGAGTGAGTTTGGTTTACGCCGATTTTAGCAATATCCAAGCAATATCAAAGCGAGGGACACCAGAAATGGGCTTCACGCATTGTATCCATGTAGGGAATCGAACCCGGACCTTCGGCGTGACGAGCGAATGCTTTAACCACTAGGCTACCCCACCAACATGAGAAAGCAGCGAGGAATACAATATTTCAAAATTATTTGCTGTCACAGATGTTCACAAGGACGGTGACATTGACCAAGAAGAAGTCATGGCTAGACATGGATTGCCGGAGGACAGTGGAAGAGGTGCGTTCAGCTGACTGAGAGGCTACTATCTGCGTTCACACTTGCACCAACTCTCCTCGTCAATATGAACAACTACGGAAGTGTCCTAGTGCCACAGTCAGAATTTTTTATCTCCTAATTAGGACTTAGCTATCTCCTAATTAGGTGATACTATCTCCTAATTAGGACTTAGTATCTCCTAATTAGGACTTAGCTATCTCCTAATTAGGACTTAGTATCACCTAATTAGGACTTAGCTATCTCCTAATTAGGACTTAGCTATCTCCTAATTAGGAGATACTATCACCTAATTAGGACTTAGTATCTCCTAATTAGGAGATAGCTATCTCCTAATTAGGACTTAAGGATCTTATAAATATGAATGAAAAAGTCAACCAGTAGTCATTCACTTCTTCTGTTTGGGTTTAGCATCTTGGATGAAGTCATTGATGAAAGCATATGCATTTGTTTCATGTTGGGAATGCAGTATTCAGAAATTGTGTCTTGTTTGGCCCATGTTAATGGCATCATTATCAGCATGAAGACTTTGAAAAGGAAATCAAAACGACTGAAACTGTGTAGGCGAAGGGGTAGAAGAATCAGTGATTACACAGTGCCATTTAGAAAGTGGTCAGATGTAACCTATGTTATATTTGGGATTACACTTTCTTAGTACAGATTCTAGTTCTTTTGTTGGGTTGAGTCCCATCCGGGTTTCGAACCCAAACCCTCAGAGTCAGGCATCTAATCGCCAGCGGTGGCTGGAAGTCGCGGTGGCTGAGCCGGCTGACTTTGTGTGCTGGCGATTGGATGCCTGACTCTGGGTTCGAATCCCTGATGGGACTCAACCCAACAAAAGTACTAGAATTTGTACTTTACTAAGAAAGTGTAAATCCAAATATAGCATATGTTATAGAAGAATCAGGACAAAATATGTGGTTACAAGCTTATGCATCTGAAATGCATACAAGAGGGATTCGCTGTCAGACGAGACACGGTGCGTCTTTGCTGCATTTAGTAGTGGTAGAAATAAGAGTACCAGAACACCCAACGCCAATGACGTCATCTGTTCATTATTACTTATCCACAGTATCGCATAATCCATATAATCTATGAGATCAACAGTCACATTTTTTCACATCGTCATGTAAGCATGCCTTGTCATATAAACACAGTCTTTACTGTCCTACGAATCTGTGACAGGCTACATACATAAGTTTTCCCAACTGAACAGAAGGCTGTCCCAGGTATATACATAGTTTTACATATCGTGTAATGTCTGTCCACTTGTATCCAAAAATATATTTCGAGTCTTAGCCTAT